TGCGGTACTCCTACGGCGGCGGCAAGTTCAAATTGAACAAGCAGGGCTCCACTGTGCTGGGCCCGTGCGAGGCCTGCGGGCAGCCCAGCACGGTATGCATGGGGCACCTGCTGAACCCAGCCCGCCTGCTGTGCCCAGAGTGCGAGGTGGGGGATCAGCAGGCCGGGGCAAGGTGACGGCAGCCGCCACAAGCCGGGCCCGCCGCCTGGCCCGCCTTGCACGGGCAGAACCAACAGAAGAACAGCCGACAGCTGCACCTTCCCCCATCGCCGCCCTGCCCCAGGATGCGCCACCAGCTGGTGGCTGCCCGCGGCTCTGCACCCCTGCCTGCACCCTGCCCCAGCTCACCTTCTGGCGGCCCTCCCAGTTATCCCTGGTGGACACCAGCCTGTCGCCGCCGAAAAACGCCAGGTGGGGTGCCGGCGTCGTGCTGCTGAACACGGCCGCGTCGTAGCCGTACTGCATGCCGCAGCGGGCGGCCACGCTGCCGGCCTCAACGGCATGCGCTACGGCTACGACAACGCGGTGTTCAGCGGCACGATGCCGCCACCCTACCTGGTACTAATTGGCGGCGACAGGCTGGCTATCACCAGGGACACCTGGGAGGGACGCCACAAGGTGCGCTGGGGCAGGGTGCAGGAGGGGGTTGGCTGGGCTGGCGGCCAACCAGCTCCTCTCTGCTCCTCGCTACGCCCCCGCCTGCCCTCCCCTCCCTGACGCAGGATGCCATCCGGCTGGAGGAAGCGGTGGTCTTGACGCCGTACACCTCTGCAAGCAGCCGCTTCTTCTCCACCATGTATGGGGCGAGAACGGCGGTGGAGGTCAAGTCACCCTGACCGATGTGCTCACCCCCTACATGCCGGAGAAGATGCGGATGCTGGCGGAGGTGTACGGCGTCAAGCTGGAGATCCACCTCTGGGACCCGGCACACAGCACCGCCGAGCCGCGGTTCCGCTGCTTTACGAAGGAGGCGAGCTGGTGCCGGCTGCAGCCAGCTGGTGCCAGCTCACCTTCTTCGTGAAGCACCGGAACCGCGGCTCGGCGGTGGCGTGGGTGCGGGCCCAGCACCCCAACCTTGACCCGGCCCTGCAGACCTTCGATGAGCACGACACACCGGTGGGTGGTCTGCGGCTGGCTGCCTGCTACCTGCCTGCTTGTTGGCCTGGCAGTGGCAAGACTGCGGCAGGTGGCAACAGCAGGGCGCAGCCCTGCAGCCGGTTGGCGGCGTGCCTGCTCGCCGCCACCGCCGCCTCCACGTCCTGCTGCTCGTGCGGAGCCAAGGGGGATCTGTGAGCGGCGGCGGCGGCCCAAGCGCGCCGGCTGGCGGCGGCTTGAGATGGGCTCCCAAAAGGGAGTTTTGGGAAACAGACATGAGTGATCACTCTAATGATACTCTGAAACTATAATACTTGAAAACAGGGAGGGGTGTAGGTGTGTGTAATGCGGCCAGCGGTACTGCAAGAAGTACAGGGTGGCAGTACACACTGGCAGGGACTGCCGGTGCTGAGGCAGCAGCAGTATGGCAGCACGCCGAAGGGCAGCAACAGCAGCCGAGGTGGCAGCAGCAGCAGCAGAGGAGGGCAGCAGCAGCGGAGGTGGCAGCAACAGAAGAGGTGGCGGCAGCGGCAGCGGCGGCAGCGGCGGCGGCGGCGGCGAAAGAGGGCAAGAGCAGCGATCGCAGCAGGCAAACAAAGTCGCTGACCTCAAACAGTCCATCAGCGTAGTCTTCCCCGCGCCGCTAGAGCCCATCAGCGCGGTCAGCACGCCGGGCCGGAAGCTGCCGCTGATGCCCCTGAGCAGGAGCAGGCGGCCGGCGTGCGGGTCGCTCGCATCGTCGTCGGCCCCGATGGACTCGTAGCCCTGCAGCCAGCAAGGTGCTTGGTGGCTGAGCACATGTTGGGGCAACTGAAACACGGTAGCTTGCCGCAGGGCGCACCGAGGGCAGCGCAACAGAATACTTGAGGTCCTGGAACGTCATGCGCACGGGGGTGAAGGGCAGCGCAGACTTCCCGCCACCACCGGAGGGCGCCACGCCGCCCTCCTCGGCATCGCCGGCAGCGTCAGCAGCGCCTGCCGCATGCTTCCCGCTTGCGCTCGTATCTGCAGGCCAGGCAGAGGGGCAAGACGCAAGGTGAGCGCTGGGGAGCCGAGCGGGCACCTGCTGCCAAGGCAGTGTAGCAAGCGCCAAGCCGCAGCAGCAGCCACACTACCTTCGTCCGCCTTGATGTTGGTAACCTTCCTCCGAGGCACGATGTTCAAGAAGGAGGAGGCTGTCATGAAGAGGGAGGTGTTGAGCAGGGTGGAGCCGATGCCCCAGGCAAACAGGCCCAGCCACACCCAGTGGTATCCAAGAAAATAGCCTCGCTGCTCCAGGAACAGCTGCCCCTGGGTGAGGCCCGAGTCGCCCAGCGCGGGGGTGTCCCAGTTCTCGCTCTCCAGCTCGTTGACCGCCAGAGCTTGCAAAAAGTAGGCGACCGGGTTGGCGTACCCTGCAGCGGCGCGGCGTGGAGGGCATGGGAGCTGGCCGTGCATAGCTTGGGGCAAGCCCGCGCGGCGCCATGCGCTGGGGCATGCAGGGAAGCTTCCTCAAAAGGGAGGGCACTCACACACGCCCTTCCAGGGGCCCGTCAGGTTTTTGTAGTTCACGATGTAGCCGCTGGCAATGGTGAAGATGAGGATGCACAGGTTCTGCAGCGAAGCAGGGGGGGAAACGGGATGGGACAGCCTGCTGAAGGCTGGCTGGCTCGGGCAGGCGCCAGGTGGCGAGCGCCGTGCACGCTCGCATGCATGCCAGGCTTCCTGTGAAGAGCAGCAGGATCTCAGCTACCCTGGCTGCTGCCCACCTGCAGGGCCGCCGCCACAGTGATGGTCTTGGCAAAGACGGCGAGCAGGAAGAAGAGGGAGAGGCCGCAGACGCCCGCCACAAACATGATGCCCCAGAACACCAGCAGGCGCACGGAGATGACAAAGCCGACCTGCGCAGGGGGGAGGGCCGTGAGCGGGGGAAGTGCTGGTGGTGCTGCATGTGTGCGCATGTGTGCTGTAAGGTGTAGCAATGCACGGTTTATCGCACTCTGTGCGAATACGGCATTCCAGGGAAATGCCGCCCACCATGAAGTAAATCATCGCCGTCCAGATGGTGGCTTCCGTGGCGATGAGCGGCATCTGCAGCAGGATCTCGGGCAGCGCGAAGCACCTGCGGGCGCGGGGGGCGGCAGCGGCCGGTGCTCTCTTCAAAATGCAGTGTAGGGGGGCAGCGCCATGGCGGAAGCAAGCGACCCCTGGTGACAGCGGCTGCGGGGACCCACCATGCCGGGTGGAAGTGTGCGTCGCGGTGCTTGTAGTAGGTGGGCAGGCGCTCGATGAGCAGGCCGGGGGCGGCAAAGGAGACCATGAACTGGGTCATGATGGAGAAGAAGGAGACGCTCAAGTACATCTGGGCATCCTGCAGCGTCTCGCGGCCCTGCCCCAGAAACAGGGTGCCGACGGCGATGGCCATGATGACGCACTGCCCTCTGCAGGGCAACATGGCAGGCCGGGGGCAGGCCGGGCTGCTCAGCATGCCAGGCAGCATGATGGAAGGCAGGGCAGCAGCCGCCACCCAAAACTGCCGCCGCGTGCAAGGTACCGGAGCAGTGCAGGGTCCCAGGCGCCAGTGGCAGGCACGCAGCCTCACATGCGGATCGCGATGAATGCTCTGTTGCGCATGAACAGCTTGGTCTGGCGGCCGAGGCAGGCTTTGAACAGCGTCCACTGGTCCTGGCCGTACCTGCGACAGCGGGGGAACACAGCAGGAGCACATGGGGGCAGGGAACGGCATGCCGCTGTTGCCATGGCGCGTGCTGGCAGCTGGACAGGAGAGGCATCAACAGATGCCGAACGCTTGCCAGCCGGCTGGGCCGCGAGCCGCCCTCTCCTCCGACATCCCTGCTCACTTGTGCACCGCAAGCTCGCCGTGCCCCTGCACCTCCTCCTCCGGCGACAGCTTCAGCTCTTCAGCAAATGCTTGGCCCGTCTCGGTGGCCCGGTAGGCATCTGCCAGCTCAGCATCCGACACATACTTGTACTCCCCCTTCCCAGCCCAGTACATCTGCAGCAGCACGGCGCAGAAAGCAGCCCCTATTCGTGCCGGGCCTCTTCCTTCTGCGATGGTCGGCACATGGACCAGGCAACCAGGCATGGGGGCCAAGGCCGGCGAGCACGCAGGCAAGGCAGCCGGGCAGGGAAGGGGCGCAACGCAACCAAGCAGGCGTGCAAGGCAGGGCAGCGAGGCGGGCCGCCCACCCATTGCTCTCCCACAGTGGTAACCTCCTGCAGGCCAGCGAGCAAGGATAGGGGCGTGAGCAAGCGATAGTGGTAACTGCAGGCGAAGCAAGGCAGGGCAACTGACGCGGCTCAAAGCTCGACTTGCCTGCAGGAAGTCTGCTGCACCCTTGTCACCGGGGCATTTGAAGCCCTGGGACTCAAAGAAGGGCAAGATGAGCTCCCGAGGGCCGTGGAACACCAGCCTGCCTCCAGACAGCAGCTGCAGGGAGCAAGGGAGAGGTGGACGGGCAGGGAGGGAGGGTGGGGCACAAGGGTCAGGGAGGGGAGGGGAGGTAGGCACACGAGCGCGCGGCAGGCGATGCACAGGTGCCGAGGTGGCGCTGCTGAGCTGGCGCCAGCTCACGATGATGTCATCAAAGCAGCCGTAGGTCTCGGGGGTGGGCTGGAGAAGGGACACCAGGATGGTATTCTGCAGGGCAGTTGGCAGGCAAAGCAGCCCGTCAGCCGGTGCTCCCTGGTGGTGCGCACTCCCGTCAAAGTGACAGCCGTTGCAGCTGCTGCCTGCAGGAGCAGGCACCGTGCAGACGCAGGGCAGGCCCTGGGGTGCGCACCATGCCTGTCTGGCACAGGGTGCGCAGGCGGTTGCAGATCTCAAAGGTGGTTGCCGAGTCGAGGCCGGTGGAGATCTGCGGGAGCGACACGGCAGCGCAGGGCGCATCAGAGCGGCATGCGTGAATGGTGGGATGGGTTTGCGAGCAGCGTGCCTGCAGGCGACGGCGCATGCACGCAATCCATGCATGTAAATGCTGCTGCCACCTCAGCATCGTGTCAGCGCCACATCAGCAGCCTCACCTCGTCAGCAAACAGCACGCTGGACGGCCCTACAAGCATTTCGCCAGACGTCACACGCTTGCGCTGCCCCCCCGATATGCCGCGGATCATGGAGTTGCCCTGCAGCAGGGCAGGCGGCACGCGCCAGCTTGTCCATCAGCCAGCGTGTCCCAACCGCCAGCCTACCTGCGGCTCGCCTGCATGCCTGGCCCGGCACGGCCACGCCCAGCAACAGGCCGCCAGGTGGAGCCCCGCCCTGAGCCCACGCACCACCAGAGTGTTGGCGCATCCCTCCAGGCCGAGCGCCTTGATGGCAATGTCGGCAGCCAGGCGGTGGTGCTCCCCCTTGGCATGCATGTAGGTGGCGACTGCGGGGTCTGGGATGATTCCCAGCTCTCGCTCCTTCTCCTCCAAAATTGTCTCGATGGCTTCAGGCAGAGAGCACATGGCAAATACACGCGGCCAGTGAGGAAAAATGCAGAGCTGTAATGAGGACCAGCAGGCGCTGGCCCCCCCTGGCCGGGCCGAGCAGCGTGCGGGCAGGCAGGCAGGCAGCCTCGCAGGCAGCGCGCGTGGGGAGGCAGCCGGGCGCGGCTGCCGCTCACGCTTGCGAGTGCGCGACGTCTGGCACAGCGCCGCAAAGCTCAGGGTCTCCGTGACCGTCAGTTCCCCAAAATGGATGTCATCCTGGTTGATGTAGGCCGCAGATCTCTCCACCACAAACTCCCCAAACGACAGCCCGTTGTAGGTGAGCTCATCGGCCCTGACCTGCAAGGAAGGTGCCAGCAGGGGAGCGGGAGGCCAGGCAGTCGACCAAAATGGCGGGCCTCAGCACGCGCCACGTGCGGCTGCCAATTGCGGCTGCCAGGTGCCTGTTCCAGGGCAGCCAGGCAGCCAGGCAGCCGTGCATCGTCCCAGCCCCCGGCCAGCGCATGCACCTTGCGCCCCTTGTCCCGCTTCAGCTGCCCGGAGAGGGCCTTCATGAAGGTGGACTTGCCGCTGTCGGGAGGGCCCAGCAGCAGCGTGAGGCGGCCCGGCTTGAGCACAGAGGAGATGCCGTCCAGGATGTGCACTTTGCGCATGCTGCTGGTGGGCTTGCCGCTGACGGCATGCCGCAGGTGCTGCATGCACGCAGCGGCAGGGCAGCACGTCAGCTACCTGCGGTACCCCAAGGGGCCAGGCGGTACCCCAGGGGCAGCCCAGGGCAAGGCGCAAATACGGGCAGCGCAGCGAATACAGGCAGCGCGGGCCCCGCCTCACCTGGGCGACTCGCACCAGCGGGTTGGCTGGCGGCGGCTCCACCTTGGCCGCCAGCCCCGTCACACACAGGTTGCGGAAGCGGAGCTGGACGTCGTGCATGGGCACCCCCGCGTTGTCAAACCGCTGCCGCACTTGCTTCATGAGGCCCATGACCTCGTCGTCCTCATCCAACGCCAGCTTGCTGACCTGCTGCACCAGGGCGTGCCGCGCCGATTTGCGGTGCAGGACATCCATGGTGATCGACCTCTGCACGCCGTCTGCGCCCTTGACCACCACGCCCGGCTTGAGCTTGGCCATCTTGGCCAGGGCGGCGGCCTGCGCGGGGCAGGGGGGGATCAAGACCTGGGTGACCCGGCGGCGGCGGCAGGCGGCGTGCGCCCGGCGGCGGCCAGCTCACGCAATGTCAGAAACTGACGATCCGCATTGTTTCCCAGATTCCTTCCGTGAAGCTCCCGAGCGTGCATTTCAGCGGCCTGCCCCCCTAACACACCTGCAGCTCGGCGAATTCTTCCTCTCTGTGTTCCACCACGGCCATCGACACTCGGCTGAAATCATTTCGTTCTACGGTGAGGTCGCCCCCGATCGCGGTGTTGAGCCCGTTCATGTTTTCGCCAGTTTACTGGGATGGCAACCTAGGGCATTCACGCGTCGGCCGATTGGCCCTGGCGCGCTGCCTAGCAAACTCCTCAAGGGCCACTCAAGCAAGTGGGGCCGACAGATCGAAGGAGGCAGCGCTGGGTAGTAGGTAGTCACCCCTGGTGCCGGTGCGCTGTGATCTGGCGGCATAGCAGGCGTCGTCCTGTGGCTCTCAGCAAACGTTTGAGTTCCAGTCTCAGATCGCCGCTCTGAGTTACAGGGAGGCGCCCAGAGGCGCAGGGGGGATGCACGGCGCCATTCAACGGCCATCCGCTGCTGCTGCGGCCCCTGCCGCCGCTGCGGGCGGGGCTCCCGGCGCCGCCGGCGCTGCCGCAGCGCTCGCCGGCGCCGGCTCCACGCCTCTGATGCTGTACTGCAGCAGCCGGCAGTCCACGCCGCCCACGGTCAGCGGGTGCCGCCGGTCGGCCTTCAGGCGCAGGCCCCTGGTGGCCTCGGGGTTGCCGCTGAGCAGGAAGGCGGCGGCGCCGGCGCACTGCCGCTTCAGGAAGGCAGACAGGTCCCACCACGCCGCCCGCAGCACCTCGGCCTCCTGCGCAGCTGCCGCCGCCTCCGCCTGCCGCTGCTGCGCCGACCCCGGCGGCGGCCTGGCCTGCTCCCTGCGCGCCCGCTCCTGCTGGGCTGGGTCTGCCTCCTCGTCCCACCACGCCTCCACATCGCTGCCGCCGTCCCGGAAGGCGCCGCTGAAACCGCCGCCGCCGCCGCCGCCGCCGTCCGCGGCGTCCTGGTCAAAGCTCTCTGCTGCGCCGCGGCCCCGCAGCCGCTGGCCCCAGGGCGGGTTGCTGACCAACACCGCCGGCCTGCGAGGCAGCTCCCAGCCCGCGCACTCGCCGTGGTGCAGGCGCACCATGCCCTGCACGCCCGCGGCCTGCACGTCCCGCAGCGCCAGGCTCAGGGCGCCCCGGTGCACGTCGTTGCCCCAGGCCTCCACGCCCGCCGGCGGCGCGTGCCGGCCCGCCGCCGCCTGCTCCACCGCGGCCGCCCAGGCGTCGCGGTCGAAGCTGTCGTGCCACTGCAATGCACGAGGGGGAGGGCGAAGGCGCACAGGGCGAGGGTGTCACTGGCCGCCCGCCTCGAAACACCAGCCAACACCAGCCAAGAGTGTGCTTGTGTGTGTGTGTGTGTGTGTTCGCGCGCCCCCTGCGCCCTGTTCCCAGCACACCCAGCAGGCCCCAGGGCGGCTGCAGCTCGCAGGCTGTCTCCCGAGGGCAGCCAGACCTGCGTGAAGGGCCACCAGCGGCGGAAGCTGCCGGGCGCGGTGTTGGTGGCCATGAGGGCGGCCTCGATCAGGAAGGTGCCGCTGCCGCACTGCACAGGGAAGCGGCGGGCACACGCTCGTGTTCAAGGCGGGGTGTGCTGCGATGAGGGCGGCGGCCAGCTGTCGCCATCCAGGCATCGCCGCCGGCGCAGCTGCCGTGGAGCAGGCGAGGTGGCCAGCCTCCAGGCAGCCAGCTCACCATGGGGTCAGCCAGCACTGCAGGCAGGGGGCAGGGCGCAGAGCAGCGGGCGGCAGCGCCATCAGCTGGAGGCCCAGCGGCAGGGCACCGAGCCCTTCCGGCCGGAGGAACCCTCACACCCACGCATCCACACACACACACGCATCCACACACCCCACGCCCGCACCTGCGCCCTCCTGCTTGCACAGCTGGTGCCAGCCGGACATGTGCAGTATCCCGGCGGCGGCGCTCTCGTTGAGCGACGCCCGGTGCATGGCCTGGCGGTAGCCGCGCCTGCACACCGCAGACGGGCAGCATCCAGCCCGCCAAACTCACGCGTCAGCAGCTCAGCTGGCCGTAACCTCCCCAAACACTGCCCCCAGCGCTCTCCAGCCCGGCCCAGCCGGGCCGCTGCTCTCATGGCGGCGCTTGCTTCGGCGCAGCGGCAGCGACAGCAGCAGAGGCGGCGGCAGCAGCGGCAGCGCGCCTGTGCAGGGACGCGCCGCTCATGTCTCGGTAGATGGACAGGCGGTCGTGGTAGGCGGTGCAAAAGAGCGGCATGTCGGCCACGCGCCCCGGCTCCGGCGGCAGCGGCTTGGACCCTCGCCGGTCGCGGATGGCGTCGCACACCGCGTCCTTGCCCCGCACCAGCAGCAGCTGCGGGGGCGTCGGTGGGGGTTGGGGCGGCAGATGAGAGTGAGTCCACGCATGGGGCAGGCGCGGGAGCGCGGGTGCGCGGAAGGCGGGTTGTGGGGGGGAGAGGGAGGGAGAGGCGTGCATGTCCCGGCCAGGACATGCCGGGCGCTTCCCCTGCCGCCGGCACTCCCCTGGCTGTCGCAAGCAGCGGCGCGGCGCACCTGGGAGGAGGAGAGGTTGGAGCAGCTCCACACCCGGCTCTCCACAGAGAAGGTCTGCCCCGGCTCCAGCAGGGCCGACCAGTCAGTCACATCCCGGAACGCATCATACACCTGCCGAGCAGACGAGGGGCGGGGGATCGGGCCAAGCTGAGGTCCGTCGCAGGGGAGCGGCATGCACTCGGCAGGAGAATGGCCGGCTGGGTAGAAGGAGCGCGCCGCAACATGCTCTCAAAACCTCGATACCATGCATGGGGAGGGCATGTGGGCAGAGCGCTGCCCGCCCGCTCGGCTCCGCCCCTCACCTCCTCTCCCGCCGGCCGCGTGCCCTCCAGCAGCGTTTCCTCCAGCAGCATCAGCACCCGGATGGCGGAGCGCAGCCACAGGTTGGCTCGGTAGCCCGTGGCCACATCTCCGGTGAAGCTGACCCCCGCCTTCCCTGCACGCGCACACACAATTTCAGAATGCAGGGCGGCGGGCCGTTTCAAGGCTGGGGTGGGACCGCACAAACAGGTCCATGAAACAAGCAAGTGCTGCTGTAGGCTGTTGATGTTCTCCTGGCGGCCAGCGGCAGCCGGCACAAGGCGGGTGACGTGCCTGGGTGGACGTTGGTGGCACCGATGGCGGGCCCCAGCAGCTCGGCCGCCACAACAGCTTCCAGGCCGGGGTGGCTGGTGGCGAAGAAGTGGTGCTGCCCCGGCTCCAGCCGCTGCCTGCGCTGCTGGATCTGCGGGTCACGCTGCTCGGAGCGCTCCCGCATGGCCCGCACCAGCTGGTGCGAGGGGCAGTCGCTGTGGTGGCGCGGCCGCCACTGGCTGCCGCCGCCGCCCTGCTGCAGCGGGGTGCTGCTCAGCCCGCGGCGCGTGGCGGGAGATGCTGCTGCCTTGGGAGCTGTCAACCCGCCGCAGGGCCCCGCTCGCCGGGCGCCCCGAGCAACTGGGCCAACCCCATCTCGGGCCAAGCGCAGCGCACCGCTCCGCACCACTCCCATCATCTCTCACGCGCCTGTTTAAAGGATTTGCATATGCATGCGGCTCTGCAGCCCATCCTGTCTGGGTCCCGCTGGCGGCCAGCTGGCGGCGCCGCCGCCCTTGTCAGGCACGGCCTTTCGTTCTGTTTGCTGACTCAATTACATGCCATCACTGACCTCTACGCGCGACTGGAATCCATAAAGACAACAACACAGCATCAAAACTGCTTGGCTAGCCACACTGCGCCTCATGCCGCCGCCGCCTCCAGCGCAACCCCGGCGTCCGTGTGGTGGCAGCGTGCGGCCCCGCCAAACTCCAGAGCAGCGCCCTCGAACTCGAACGCTTCCAGCAGCTGCTTCTGCACCCCGCCGCGCTCGCTGCCGCCGATGCGGTACTCAAACAGGCGTACTGCACCGCAGAAAAGCGACATGGCAAAGATTGTGCGACAAGGTGGCGGCGTGGAGAACCCTTGTTGCCTTCATGGTGCTGGATGCGAGGCATGTGGCGCACGCATTGAGGCGACCCATCGAGACGCAGCTGCCGCCTGCCCCCCCCACCTGTGGCGGCGGCGGTGAAGGACTCTTCAGAGAAGGGCCGGAAGCCCTCGCGGGTGGGGCACTCTACCTCAGCAAAGCTGCTGCGCCGCGCTCTGATCTGCAGCAGCCCAGCCCAGCGCTCAGGCAACCACCGGGCTGGCCGTGCATGCCGCTCGAGCCTGCTTTATGGGCGTCTGAGCGACCTGCAGCGAGCGCGCTGAATGCGCTCGGGCCAGGCCCAGCCCAGGACAGGCAGGCCGCTCACCTGCACCTCCACGCCCCGCCGGGTCAGCGGCTGGGAGGCGGTGAGCAGCAGTGTTGTGTCGCTGGGGCAGGGCGAACTCTGAGCGGTGAAGATCGAGTTCCATGGGTGGAAGTCCCAGCTGCAGCAGAGCCACGCGCAAATACAAATGAAGAGCAGGGCAGCATAGAGCGCCTGGCTGGCGGGATCCGCCGCCGTTCGCCCGTCCTCGGGCGGCCCGCCGCCCTCCAGCCCGCCCGCCGGCTGCTTGCCTGTAGTTGCGGGTGCGCACCCCCAGCAGCCACAGGGTCGGCATCCAGGCCTCGGGCACCAGCGGCGTGGGCAGCTTGCCGCCCGCCAGCGCGAACGCAGCATGCACACCGGACTCCCTGGCGGCGCCGCCGCCGCCACCACCACCACCTCCGCCGCTGCTGCTGCCAGCAGCGCTGCCAGCAGTGCTGCCTGGAGCTGCGGCCGAGGGGCTGGGGCCGAACCCGTGCGGTCCGGAGTACCGCTTTGTCCCCTCGCTGCTCCCGGCATTTGTGGATGCACTGCGGGGGGCGAGACCCGCACTTGAGGCAGCGGCGACCGCCGCCGCTGCCGCCACCTCCATCGAGCAGCTCACTGCAGCATGCATGAGCTTTGATGGGGTAGTGACCAGCTCCCTAGATACCGCTGGTATGCCAGTCCGGCAGGCGGGCCCTGCCCGATCGCCAGGCTGGCAGCGACAGGCATGCAAGGACCCGCTCACTTCCCGTCTCCGCCGGAGGAGACGGCGGGCCCTGAGCCGTCGTGACTTCACCCTGGCTGTTGCACTCAACCGCCAGATGTGTGCCGCCGCCCGGCGGCACAAGCGCCAGGTGAAGCGCAAGAGGGGTCGTGACCTGGCACGGCTCGAATTCGATGCCCCGGCTGCCTTCCACAGGCTGCTCAAGGGCAAGGGGGAGGGCGCGGACCCCTCCATCACGGCCGGTGATTGGAACGGCCACTTCCGGTCACTATTGGGCTACACACACGTGGCTGCCGCGGGCAGGC